GCCACAACGCCTGGCCATTTTTTGGTTGCAGCCATCATTGTTGTTTGGTTGGCCCGGGCTGGGGATTCGAACCTACCACCTTAGGTGTATGTGGCTGGTGCCTTAGCCGCTTGAGCCACAGGCGCCGAGCCAGGGTTTTCTACTTTATGTCATCTGCAATCAGAGAGAACTTATTTTTTCCTTTTCAATTTGGGTGACTTTTATTTCTTTTTCTTGCGTAATTTTTGTGATGAGGACTTCCAGTACTATGTCAAATAGAAGTGGTGAGAGTGGGTTTCCTTGCCTTGTTTCTGATCTTAGAGAAAAGCCTGTAATCTTTCACATTGAGCATGATGTTAGCTGTGGGCTTTTTGTATATGACTTTTATTATGTTGGGGTAATTTCCTTCTATTCCTAATTTTCTGAATATATAATTTTAATCATAAAAGGATGTTAAATTTTGTTAAATGCCTTTCCCAGTCAATGAGATAATCATGTGATTTTTGTTCTTTTTTTTTTTTTTTTTGAGACAGAGCCTCAAGCTGTCACCCTGGGTAGAGTGCTGTGGCATCATTGCTGACAGCAAACTCCAACTCCTGGACTCAAGCATTTCTCCTGCCTCTGCTTCCTAAGTAGGTAGGACTATCAGCGCCCACCACAATGCCAGCTATTTTTTGGTTGCAGCCATTATTGTTATTTTGGCAGGCCCGGGTTGGATTCGAACCCGCCAGCTCCAATGTATGTGGCTGGTGCCTTAGCTGCTTGAGCCACAGATGCCAAGTCAAGTGATTTTTGTTCTTTATTCTGTTAATGTAGTATATTGCATTTATTGATTTTTTTATATGTTGAACCATCCCTGCATTCTCAGGATAAATCCTGCTTGGTCACAGTGTTTAATCCTTTTATTGGGCTGCTGAATTGATTTATTAGTATTTTGTTGAGAGTTTTTTCATTAACACTCATCAGGGATATTAGTCTGTAGTCCCCCCCACCTCCCTTTTAGTATCTGTCTGCCTTTGGTATTAGAGTAATGCTAGTCTCATAAAATGAATTTGGAGTGTTTCTTTTTCTTTAATTTTTTGGAAGAGTTTGTGAACAATTGATGTTAATTCTTTAAGTGTTTGGTACAATGCTCCAGTGAAGCCAGCTGGTCCTGTGGTTTTCTTTTTTGGGTGGTTTTCGATTACTGATTCTGTTCTTTTTTTTTTTTT